AATCTAATTAAGATTTTAGTATACTCAACTCAGAGAATACACATTAGTTTTCTAAATGCGCATGAAATACCAGCCTGTGCTGGTGCATAAAACAATTATCAATAAATTTAAAAGAATTATAAAATCAAAAATTTGTTCCTAAAAAGATTAACCTCAAGCTAGACTCTTCAAGGAAAAAGAAAGGCAGAAACAACCTATGTTAAGAACGGAAGAGAGAAAAATCACAAACAATATTAAAATATTAGTATTATTAAATTTAAGAGAAAATCACAAACAATATTAAAATAATATTATTATTAAAATGTTATGGCAATAAAGTCAAAAACTTAAAGGAAGTAGTCAACTTTCCAAAGGCACAAAAAAATGACCAAAACTAACCCAAGGAGAAATAGTAGTTTAATAGCTAAAGAAAACAAATTCATAATTAATTGCCCCCCCCACACACACACACACACCACCACCACCACTACAAAACCTTCAGGCACAGATGCTTCATTGGTGGATTCTATCATACACATAGCAACAAATAATTCCAGTTCTATGCAATCTCTTTGAGCATATGAAGGAAAAACAAATCTTTTTTTCTTGTAATACAAAAAACAAACAAATACGTAACTAACAAGCAATAGGGGAAAACATAAACTATTTTAAATAATCTATACAATAAGCAAGGAATCATAGAAAAAGGAACACAGAACTTATTGGAGAAATATAAATCAAACTGGAAGGTAGCAGGTTGAAGTCCAGATATATAAGTAACTATTAAATGTAAATGAATTAAATAATCTTATTAAATGACAAAACTTGCCGGGCTAGATAGAAAAACAACAGTAGACACAATTGATATACCTTAAACATAAGGATGCAAATAGATTGAAAATATAAGGAAGGGAAAGGTGTACAATGTGAATACTAAGTAAAAAGAAATTATTGTAAGCACACAAATAAAGACAGTTTTTGAGACAAGACACAGCTCTGAAAGTGAAGGAATATATCAATTCACCAGGAATATGTCTAAATTTATCTGCAATGAATGATAGATTCAAATTATATAAAGCAAAACCTGACAACTAAAAGACACAGAAAAGTCTTCCATAATAGTGATAGGTGTTTTTCAGTAACTGAAAGGTAAAGCAAGACAGATGTTTAGAAAATAATATAGGGGAATAACTTTAATGATCTTGGGTAAATATTTCGTAAACAGAATGCATAATGCACTAGCTATTAAAAAGTTTTAATTTCTACAAAATTAAGAACTCAGCATTATTAAAAAAAATTTAAGAGAATGAAAATCCAAAGTAATGAAGAGAGAAAATATTTACATTGGGTATACCCCTCAAAAAATTTATATCCATAGAACAAAAAGAACTCTTATAAATCATTAAAAATAGATAGGTAAAAAAATCTACAGCTAACAAGTCATCACACAAACCCCAAAATGACCAAAATTTAATTCTCACAATATCTTGTTTTGTCAATAATATAGAACTAAAACTCTCATACACTGCTTTTGGGACTGTACACTTGTATCACCACTGAAGAAAACTATCTGGCAATTTCTACTAAATCTGAACGTATGAACAGGCTGTGATGCCACAATTTCACTCACAGGTATACTCCAAACACAGTATAACATTTGCGCACCAAAAGTCATGTGATACAACTCATGAAAGATTACTGGTAGGAGCCTCAAATTAAAAACAACTTAAATATTGCTCAGCAGTAAAATAAGGCACATAATAGTAAATTCAAACAACAAAATGCCCATACTAATACTATCTGCTACAAGTAACAGCACAGACGAATCCTTCAAACACAAAGCTAAGTGAAAGAAGCCAGACAAAAAAAGAATACACACCCTAATGCAGTTAAATTTACTATAAAGGTAATAAACTTCCCTTAACTTGCTCAAATTTCATCTAAGGCTCTGGACTTAATTTTTTATTTATAATTTTCTTTTTGTTTATTTAAAAAGAGTTGTCAAAATTACTTAAGTTTTCAGACGCCAGTGAATCTCTTATTTTCTCTAACTGTGTGATTCCAAAATAGTAAAATTAACCTGCACTATAGAAGTTAGTGGTTAACTTGAAAATTGAGTGATTAGGAATTGGAAATAGGCACAGGCATGGCTTCAGGGAATCTGATGATACTCTCTTTATTAATCTGCAGTGATTAATCTGTGATAATAAATGTTCAGCAACTTGCTTTCTGGAAGCAAAGGACCTGATATTTAAATACTCCTGCCATGCTCCATTTCAAGCAGTTGAACAACCAGAATGTTTAACAATTGACTCTCAAAAATTAATGCAAGCTGTTTCCAGTACACCACTCTAGAGTGCGGTTACATGGTCATGTTCATTTTGAGGTATTTCATTGACATATAAAGGTCTGATGTAGTTTATCTTCCATGTTTAATTTCAATAAAAATAATATTTAACAAATTCTAGAGGCTATACTCTTCCAGTTAGCAAGTATTAAAAAATAAAATCAAAGTGAAACAAAATAAACAAATACTCAAGACCATTAAAACAAATTTAAGTTATTATGGAAATGGATACAGTGAATAAATTAAAAAGTAAATATTTTCTGAAATTTTACAAATTAGGAAGATAAGGTACATACAAATACATCTGAGATTTAAAACACTATGTACAATTCTCTCCTAATGCTATTTCACATTACATCATAATTATGTATTTATTTTTATGCAATTTCTTAAAAGGCTATATTCCTTAAAGGCAGTCAGTGGGTTTTGTTTAACTCTGTAATGAAAGGCACATAATAAATGCCTGACATACACTGTGCATTAAATAAATATACCGAATAAATTAAATATCATACAATGGGGCAGTATTTAAGAGTTTTAAGATCATAGCAGACATGATAATGATTTTGAAGGTCAGAGTATGAAGAAGCCATTCCTAGCTGCTGTGATCAGAAAATATATAATTCTATGTACGTTGGGCCACATGGTTTTTCTTGCAGTAAAATGCTTTCCCTAGACTCCACAAGAGGTCAGAGTCTTCTTTCTTGATCTAATGAGACTAGGGGATCTTATTTAATAAACCAGGCCTGTAACAGCTGAAAGAAAACAGCTCATTTTTTTCTTTGGTGGTATTGCTGAGTGTAGAAATTACGCAAAGCAAGCAGAAAAAAGTCTTGGGTGTATTTCAAAGTATTACACAGATGCTTAAAATAATTTTTTATTTTACATTTAGCTATCTTGAGTGTAGCCAGAGTGTCAATAGTTTCTATAGGTTATAGTCTGTTAAAGTATTTCTTAACAAGAGTAAAATGAAAGCTCAGCAAAAAGAACCTGTTATAGCTACTTCACTTAAACTTTCAGATCTCATAGTTGCCAGTGATCCATCAATCAGATTCTCAGGGAATCTGAGGTCAAAGAGTAAGTTATGTCCAAAGGCATACTGGCAAATGATTATATGGATGTTGCTTACTTTTTTCTCTGTGTGTGTGTGTGAGTGTGTGTGTGTGTGTGTGTGTGTGTGTGTGTGTGTGTGTGTGTCTGTGTGTGTGTTTTAATGGGCCAAATATAACTCAGTATCAAGGCGCCAGTTGGTGGGTGATGGTGATCATAGTGGTGGTGGTGTGTGTGTGTTTTTCCTTTCTGGGCTAATCCAGAAAAAAGTGTTATGCCAGAGGTGAGCAGAGTTTCTCATCTAGGCATGTGATGAAGGGGACAGGCAGACAAGAAAAGAAATGTAAGCTTTCACAAACTTATGTTTGCTGGGATACCTTAATCTTTATCTAATCGTTGTCCAAAGTGTGTGTTTTCATACTGTTCAGAATATGATAATAAATGCATTTCAGGATCAAGAACAATATTGGACTCTAAGTTCCCATTAATGAGTACTAAAAGAAGTGTAGGGGAGAAGGTAACCGAGTAGCAAGCTGATCACCAATGGCAAAGTCACCATTAGATTCCATAACAACAATTATCTTTTGGCTCAGAGCAAGGTATCGAGCTGAAAGGAACTGCTGGCACAGACAAGAAATGTGCAGCCATTTTCAGTGTGTTCTGAGACCCTCGTCAAACAGGTTGAGCAATGGAGAGAGAACGATACATCATCTCCCACAGTAAATAAACTGGCAATAAGATACAATTCAGTCACATTTTATGTGATTGTGACTCATGAAAATTTTAAATAATGTGGTATAAAAATAATGGTAAAGACTTAACATAGATTAATTGAAATAACGAAAAATATTCACAATTGTTTTTAATGTGTAGAGAAACGTATGTCTTAAACTTCCTGGAACCAAGTGAATTCCACAGTGTGCTATCTCTGGTTAATAAACAAATACCTGTCATCCTTTGTCAGAATCAGCCTTTATTGTAAATTTATATGCACAGAGCTTCTTATTCAGCATGTCTGGGAAGCACTCAAGAATATCTATTTTTGTATAAGTTTGTCAACTAACTCTAATGCACCCAAACCATGGCCTGCAATTTTAGAATTTTTTCCAGAGACTGTAAAAACTCCCTAGGGTAGATACAACTGAGTAGGAAAAAAGTATAATATACTGTACTAGGAATTCTAGTATAATTCTTTCCAGAGAGTGTAAAACTCCGTAGGGTAGATACAACTGAGTAGGAAAGTATAATGTACTGTACTAGGAATTCTAGCATCTTATTTAGAATTCACGCTTTCCCACTCATTAGCTCTATGTTTTTAGTAAAGTAATTAACCTCTCCTCCCCAAGCCTCATTTCCCTCATTTGTAAAAAGAAGCTAATTGTAGACCTCAACTCATAATGTAGTTGTGAGGCTAAACTACGTCTGGACTAATGACTGTTCAAAAAATGTTTGCTATTGTTATTATTATTAAACTTGTGTTCTAGCCTCTCAGTAAAGTACACCTGGTGCTTAAATAATGGTTTATAAATTGCCTTGAAGAGAAGTACCCTGAACTTTACAATGGATTCTCAATGTTCAATAGGAATATTTTATAGCTAAGCTCTAGTCTGACATGTATTCTTAGAAAGAAGATGTATGAGATGTGAAATTGCCATTGGCCTCGTGGTGGTAGTAGTAATAGGATAGGCCAGGTAACGCGAACTCAGCAAATTAACCCTGAAACATAAGAAAAGGGTGTGTTTTTCATCACAGTAAAATACTAATGCTAGCCAGGGAGGCACTTAAAGGGGAACTGTACTCTATGCAGGCTAACAAAGTCTCTACAATCTGGAATGTTCCATTTTTGCTGGTCAGAGAAAAAAACAGCTGGAAAGTCACATACTAGCTCTTTACAATTTTATTCCAGAAGGAATTTACATCACTTCCCCTCACAGCCCATTGACCAAAATCAGTCACATGGACCCAGCTCCCTGCAAAGGGTATAAAAATATCAGCAAGCTGATGGATTGGGAGGTGAGTACCACTGTCTCTAGCCTATTAGCATTTATAATGACAGTTAAAGCCACCAAAAATTCAATCCTTACTGTGATTCAGCCAGTTATACATACATATATATATATATACATATATATATATATATATAGTTTCTAATGTTATGCTCACAACAGCCTTGTGTCTTGCATATTATTATCTATTGTCAAAGGAGGAAACAGAGACAGAGGAGCTAGTTAACCAGTTTGTCTCGAAATGTCACATTTCACTCATCTCTGTGTCATGATTGCTCACCAACGTGGACCTATGGCTATCCTTCTCTGAAGCTGACCTCTCCACCTATGCTGTCTTTATCAGAACTTTGCATTTGACCATTTTCTTCTTCCTCATCCCCAGCATCACCGCCACTGGTACTTCTCCTTATGACACTATCACCGCAAGGTGGGAAGCCATAAAATGTGCCACATCCCTACCGTGTTCCTAAGTTCCCTTTTCTTTTACTTTTAAGCTTCCCCAAACATGGTCTATACGTGTAATTTCTACTTTGCCACTCACCTAAAACCTTGAAATCTGCCCTGTACTCTCATTACAGCTATAGTTATCTACTGTAACCGTAGAGTGCAAATACTGGAACTCTTGATGAAACCAAATGAGCACCAAAAATAAAGTTTTGGAACCTGACTTTGAATTCTTGTACCATGATAATTGTGTAATCTCCAGTAAACTATTTAATTTCTGTGGTTCCAATTCCCCCTTTCTGAAGACTGGTTTGACAATATTTGGGCTGCTGAACTTACACAGTGGTTAGATGGATTAAATATCATCATGTAAACAAAAGCAATTGAGAAACCAATGAGTAATTTGGAATATACTTTTATGGTTTTAATTTTCAAATCACATAACCGCTTCTCTGTGTTTAACCAGCTGTTTCTGCCAAAATACACCCCCAGAAAGTTCCAAACACTCTCAAATCCCTATGTAAATTCCACCCATTATTTTTTTCTCTTCCGTTAACAAACATGCTCAGTTTTCTCCCCTCTGTTAAACCCATCCCCAGTTCTTTGCCTCTGTGTCCAGTTCCCGGTGGTTTCTCTCCACTCCTCTCCTGAATGGTGCAGACTATTCCTCCATTGTCCGTGTCCTGCCATTTGCACACTGACCCACGTATTTGTCTTCTCCAGGATTATCCACATATTTCTATGTAAAGTTCTCTAGTCACTTCCTAATTGTTAAATCCAATGAAAACTTATCCAGCCTTATTGTGTTTTAATTCTGGGACAGACCTGTTGGCTACTCTCTGCTCAAAATTCTCTTCTCGTTTGCTCTCTATGATATCATTGCCTTCCATCTCCGCAGCCACTCCTTTTAAGTTTTTCCTCAGGGTTCTCCTCCATTTCCCATACCTAAAGTGTAGATGACCATCCATGTTTTATCATTAGTCTTCTTCCCTATGCATTTTAAAAATATCTCCCTGAAGAAGCTCATTTCTACTCATGAGATAGTTGAAAGAAGCTAGCTCTCTAATGCTGTCAACTTCTAAAGCCTCATCTACACACATAGAAACCAGAAATCCACCCCAATGGACAGTATTTGATGACTTTCAATTTTGTCAAAACTCTGCAAATGAACTCAACTCCTGGAAGACCCAACTGCTCATTACTCACTGAATATATCCAACTCGTCTCCACCTTCGTGCCATTTCTCTCCTTCTATCTATAACTATCACTTGTCTCCATCCTCTTTCATCTATTCAGATGTTATTGTTTATCCTCCGCCGGTTTCTCACTGCTTCCTAGCTACATATCTTAGTTCATAACTTTTTTTTCTGAATGTCTTTACTAGTTTCTTCAATAAACACTGTTTCAAATATCTTGCTAGGATGTGAGGTTTGGTTGTTTTTTTTTTTAATAACTTCCCCCTTCCCCTAGGCATTTATAGCCACATTTATTTTGTATATCGGGCTCTGCCACCTAGCCACGGACAGCTGAATCAGACAGTAGAGGTGTCCCATGATGAACCAGTAAGGATCTCTGTCCTAATAACTGGAATTAGGAGTCAGAGACAGCTAATCACTCTGACTTAATTACTTAAATTTAAGATGTATAAAGTTGAGAATCTCAGAAATGCCATTTTTAGATATGTGCACAGAGAAGCAATAAAATCATGATCTATAGAAAAAGGGGAAAAGAAGAAAGCAGGTGTGCAGAAGAGACCAGAGATGAGATGTGAAGGCAGCTGCTGAATGGTTTTCTAGTAGTTTTTCAGTCTCTTATGATGTTTTAGTTGCATATTGTGCCTTGGGCAAGGATATTCTGATATCCTTCCAATTCCTTTTTGCTTCATCGTTCAAAGTGATTTTATAAATACTTTTAGCAAAATGAAATGTAACCAAACTCACTCATTTTTACACCTATCACATGTTATCTTGTGCTGTTACTTAGCTTTTTCAAATGTGTACAGTGTGTTTCCCTAGTTAGATGGCAACCTTCTATAATGTGAGAGCTTTGTCTGGTTTTCCTTTATTCTTGAATCCTCCCAATAATTCCCATACATACTATGGGAATTCAATGAAATTCACTGAAGCCAACACTCCAGTAAACCTAACTCTGTTTCCTCTCTTTAGGGCCTTCCACAATGTTGTGAACATATTTGATACTCTCATATTTAGATCAAATAAACGGGTTTCTCACTGCTAAAAAAAAATTAGGAAAACTTTCCAGGACACTGGTTTGGGCAAAAATTTCTGGAGTAATACCCAAGTACAGGCAACCAAGCAAAAAAACAAACACATAGGATCTAATCAAATCAATAAGCTTCTACCCAACTAAGGAAATAGTCAACTAAGCAAAGAGACAATCTTCAGAATGGGAGAACATATTTGCAAACTATCTGACAGGGGATTAATAACCAAAATATTTTAAAAGTTCAAAAAACTCTATAGGAAAAATCTAATAATCAAGTAAAGAAAATGGGCAAAATGATTTGAATACACATTTCTCAAAAGGAAACATAAAAACGGCAAACAGGCATTTTTATGATAAAAGTGTTCAACATATTGATCATCAGAGAAATACAAATGACAACTACAATGAGATGTCATCTCACCACAGGGTAATGGCTTTTATCCAAAAGACAGGCACAGCAAATGCTGACAAGGATATGAAGAAAATCAAGAACAGTTTGGAGGTTTCTTTAAAATGAAAAATAGAGCTACCAGTGGGCTGTGGTGGCTCATGCCTGTAATCCCATCACTTTGGGAGGCCAAGGTGGGTGAATCACTTGAGGTCAAGAGTGATTTACCCTTGAGGTCAGGAGTTCAAAACCAGCCTGACCAATATGGCTGTTTCTACTTAAAATGCAAAAATTAGCCCGGCATGGTGGCAGACACCTGTAATCCTAGCTACTCGGGAGGCTAAGGCAGAGCATACGGTAAGCCGAGATCATGCCACCGCACTCCAGCCTGGCAATAAAATCCAATTTTATTGAGTGAGAGTCTGTCTCAAAAAAAAAAAAAAAAGAGCTACCATATGATACAGCAATCCCACTGGTGTATTTACCCAAAAGAAGGGAAATCAGTATAACAGAGAGATATCTGCATTGAAGCACTGCTCATAATAGCAAAGATTTGGAAGCAAACTAAGTGTTTATCAACAGATAAATGGATAATGAAAATGTGGTACTATTCAGCCATAACAAATAATGATATCCTGCCATTTGCAACAATGTGGATAGAACTGGAGGTCATTATGTTAAATGAAATAAGCCAGGCACAGAAAGACAGACATCACATACTCTCACTTATTTCTGGGGTGTAAAAATCAAAGTGACTGAACACATGGAGGTAGAGAGTAGAAGGATGGTTACCAGAGGCTTGGAAAGGTAGTGGAGGGTTGCAGGGAGGTGGGGATGGTTAATGGCTACGTAAAATGGTTAGAAAAATGAATAATATCTAGTACTTGACAGCGCAGCAGGGTGACTGTAATCAAAATAACTTAATTGCACATTTTAAACTAACTAAAAGAATTGAATTGTTTGTAAAAGAAAGGATAAATGCTTGAAGAGAATGGATACCCCATTTTTCATGATGTAATAATTACACTTTGCATGTGTATCAAAATATGTCATGCAACCCGTAAATATATACACCTACTATGGACACACAAAATTAAAAAATAAATAAAATGTTTCTGTGATTTCCATGTCTATTCTTTTCAATATTCTCTCTTTACTTCTTAAAGCAAAGAAATAGGAACAGCAACAGGGGAATTCATGTGTAGGAAGAAAAAAAAATCAAGAAAAGATGCTGATAATAAAGCTCTTCAATAAAATGTTTTCTTATTCTACTGTTTTCTTCACCTTTATAGTATTTGTTCACCCTTCAGAAAGGTGGTTGCGAGTGATGCTGTAATAATCAAACCACAGACATTATGGACTGACTCTTTCTTCGTATTCTTTGTAGAACATAACGAATATATACAAATACGTTTAGACCTCCACTAAATGAACAGAGGCTAGGATTAGGAAACAGAGCTAGAGTCTTATCCCTGCCCTGTTGTTAACTATTTGACCTTTGGTAAGCTATCTGGTATTTTTGTACCTCCATTTCCTCAGCTGCCAAATTACAGTCATAGATGATACTATGAATCTCCCAAAAAAAGTAAAGATGAAAAGAAGTAGTAAGTTAGAAAAGCTTCTAGAAGCCCACATTAAAGATGGTCACAGGAAGATTAATAATCAAATACTACTTTGCATTTTTAACAGAATTTGTCTGAGTGTGAAAAGAAACCTCTAGATATTTGAAATATCTCTAAACTTATGATGTGATTCTTTATTCTCCAAGTTCCTTTCTCGGCCTATGTTCGACCTACCTGCTGTTTATCCTCTCCAGTCTTTTTCTGTTTCCTCTTGAGCCCAGAGTGCCAGCTGTGTTAAATTGTGTGGTAATTCTGTGCTGTGAACAATTCCCTGAGGAAGCAGAGCCAAATGCTATCTCTGTGACTTGTCTTGGGAAAAGAAAAGTTCCAAATTGAAAACTCATAATGTCAATCCCTTGTGGTTGCTCTTACCACTCCACTGTTCACAAAGACCTTGAAGCAAGGAGTAATAGCCCTGTGTTAAAGACCAAATCACCATTATCAGTTGGAGAGCTCTAAAGTGTGGCTCAGAGTTCAGTGTCAGACAGACTGGTATTTGGTCTTCATCAACTAAGGATGACTCTACAGTGAGAGATATTGCTCAAGCCTTGGCAAATAACTAACACAAGGCTTCATAAGGACACATTCATTTCAGACAACATTGAGCAAAGGGCCATGTAGGCTTCTCTTAATGTTTCTTTTGCATGTGTGTGTTTCTGGTTTTTTGAATACTGCTGCTTTTCTTCTAAAAAAATCTATGCAAAATTATAATGTTGTTTCAGTGACAGAACATACATATGCCTGGAGATCTGTGGGGAAAATATGTTAGAAAACTTCTCAAATCTGAAAAGTAAGCATCATGCACGCACAAACATGGCTGCCCTTTTATTTTTATTTGTTTTAAATTTGGCTTTTCTAAGTCATAAAAGAAGAAGTTTAAATCTCTCTCTTTAAATCTGTTAAGTAAATGAAGAGATGGCTTGTCTGTGAAAATGCTTTCCAACCAATTCCAATACCGTAATGAATAATAGATAAATTTAATTTCCTCCTGATCCTTTCTGTATGTGGCAGTCAAAGTGATCTTTTGAAAACCCAAACCTAATCATGTCATTTCTTGATTAAAACCCTTCAGCAGGTCCCTAATGTCCTCAAGATAATGTCCAAATTATTGTATTTTTAAAAGAGCTTTATGACTAGTCCCCAATTATTTCTCCAACTTTGGGTCTCTAAGCCATACCTTGTAATATACCCTTTCATTGCACTGCTCCTCCCCCACCATCTCCTGACACATACAACTAGTTACTCTGTATTCTAGTTACACTGACTGTTTTATGAATCACTTCAAACCACCCCATAACCACCAAGTTCTGTCCCTCTGTCTCAGAAAGTTTTACTGGCTCCTAATCTTGAGGTGTGGCTTTTTTTGACATGCCCTTCAAGTACCCTGTACTTACCCCCTCGTGCTTTTTATGACAGATATCAGTTCAATCCTCAGGATCAGTGTCACCTTGTACCCCCATGACTTAGTTTAAAGTCCAGCATCAAAGCATTGCTCAATAAGTATAGGAGCTAGAGTCTAGGAGAGATGGCTGGAAGAGAGGGAGAAAGGAAAAAAAGGGAGACAGATACCAGGGAGATCAAGACTCCGAAAGTAATCGAGTTCATTGCTGAGTCAGCTATCACCACTCCTTTCTGCTTTCTTTAGTTCCTGCTGACATCCAGTTTAGGAAGGAGCATTCGGCCTCTGGATTCCTCCCAAGCTCCAGGATTTCCCCATCTCTGCTCCTTCCCTTTTTCTGAGCTGCCTACGCCCCAAATTAGTATTTGCTCTTTGCTGCCACATTCCTCACAGATTCCTCCCAGAAATGTTTTTCACCAAAACAAATGTATTTGGCCTCAAAGCCCTTAGGCATTAAAAGTTATCCTTTTTTAAACTGAAGATTGGGGACCTCTATAATTCAAGATAGCAAAGGAGAAGCAGCCCAGTAAAACGCTAAAAGGGATGTGTAGTCAAAGATAAAACCAGAATTTAGTTTTAGCCAAGGAGCACACAATCTGAGAGCACTGGTCTCTTTAACTCAATCTGTCTTTTATCTCTCTATATCCATTTAATTAGACATACTCAATGTGATTACATGGCAGCATGAATTGTAGCAGAGAACCCTGTGAAGATAAAACTTGTTTTGTTATTGTGAGATGGAGCCCGTGGAGGGTAATTAAGTTCAGATGAGGTCATGAGGATGGAGTTACCCATGATGGGATTAGTGTCCTTAGAAGAACATAAAGAGATGAGAGATCTTTCTCTCCAGCATGTGAAGATACATCAAGAAGGTGGCTGTCTATAAATGAGGAAGAGGGCCCTCAACGTCACTGAGTTTGCTGGCGCCTTGATCTTGGGCTTTCCAGTCTCCAGAATTGTGAGAAATAAATGTCTGTTGTTTAATCCACTCACTCCACGGTAATTTGTCATTGAAACCCTAGTTAACAAAGACATTTAACTTGTTAGTGAGAGAAATTACTACTCATATCACACTATAGGCAGAAACAGGAATTGATCACAGAATCATTAAAGCTGGTATTTCTTGCAAGGATACATGCTGAGAGAGGACTTTAAAAGAGAAATTGCCTTCTTAAAAAAATTGAAGAAAATAGGTAGGGAATTTCTAAGAATGTAATGTACCAATGTACTGATAGATACCAGAACCATTCCTGTCCTGACATTTGGCCCTGATATTCTTGCCCATCTATTGTGTGCCTGTCTACAGCTATCTGGAAAAATGAGCTAAATATGCCTAGGTAGATTTGTAGTCCTCTAGATTAAATAGAACCTTGAAAACTTCCCTGGAAAGTTTCTGATTATGGTACTGTCTTCTAAACTAAAAGCTGATGGATATAATCTTAAAAGTGCAACAACTCTACTCTTTTACGTTTGCATACCTTAACAGATTTTAAAAAAAAAAAAAAAAAAAAGGAGTTCTGATCCAAGATGGCCGTTTAGGAACAGCTCAGGATTGCAGCTCTCAGTAGAAGGGCAGAGGGTGAGTGGACACCGCATTTTTATTGCCCACAGACTAGGAAATTCCCAGGCGGAGGAACTCCACAGGTCACCAGCGCGGCTGTTTGGGCCAGCGCGGCTGTGCCAGCCGGGGCCGCTGCTTTGTCCCGCGCGGCTGCTTTGTCGGCGCCCCGGAGCCGCGGTTCTCCGTACAGGGCCGACAAAGGTGCCTTTTGGCTGGCGATTGGAGCCACGGGAAGTCACCCATTCGTCTGTTTTAAAAGGGGACTGAGCAGAGAACCAGGACAGTAGATTCCAGGGCAAAAAAAAAAAAAAAGTGCCACAAACCTCAGTGCCGCTGTTTAAGCCAGCGCAGTGAGTGGCCGCAGGGGAAAAGAAACAGACCCCGGCGCCTCTTCAACAGGCGACTGGAACACCAACTTAAAAAAGGCTCTGAGGCAGGGAGCCAGGCGATCAGGCTCCGCTGGTCCCACCCCCACAAAAGAACAGCAACCAGAAACTCTGGATTGAGAGTTTCACAGCAAGTGCAGCTGAACCTTGGACGGTCCAGCTCTGAGGGGGAGGGGCGTCCACCATTACCGGGGCAGCCCGCCACGACAGAGGTAGTCAGCCAATGCTGAGGCAGCCCACTGTTGCCAAGGCAACCCACCACAGCAAAGAGACTCCGCCTCAACAGAGGCGGGCCACCATCGCCAAAGCACTTCTAACTATACCCATATAAACAGGACTGCAGGGAAGTTCACTCAGCAGCTGGGCGGAGCCCACAACAGCTCAGCAAAGCCTCTACAGGCCAACAGTGACTAGGCTGCCTCCTTGCTGGGCAGGGCAGCTCTGAAAGAAAAAAAAAAGAAGGCAGCAGCATAAGGGAAACTCACAAATAAAGCCCTAAATCCCTGGGACAGAGCACCTGGGAACAAAAAGCAGTTTATGAGTTCTGCTGCAGCAGACCTAAACGTACCTGCCCACCAGCTCTGAATGAACAACAGAGCTCACAGCTCACCATTTGAGCTCCTATAAAGAAGAGACCATCTCCTCAAGCAGTTCCCTGACCGCGATATATCCAAAGAGCCACCTCATAAAGGAGAGATCAGATTGACACTAGGCAGGTATCCTTCTGGGACAAAGATAGCAGAAGAAGAAAACTGGTAACAACCCTTACTGTTCAGCAGCTGCTGCAGGTGGACCCCAGGCAAGCAGGGCCTGGAGTGAACCTCAGCAGACCTACAGCAGAGGGGCCAGAGTGTCAGAAGGAAAGCCAAGAAACAGAAATAACCTCATCATCAAGAAGCA